ATAACGTTCTGCAGTTTATTTACTAATTGTTGAAGGCCATTTCGCAATTTTAATCATCATACAGTAACTGTATGATACAGTATTTTTAATTCAGTGGTGGAAAAAATGTTACTTGATCTAAGAAAGTTTATACTGGAGAACAAGACAAAAACTCTGAGAAAGAGCACCATTTTTGCAGTCTGCAATGCTACAGTATCACCCGTGTCATATTCATAAACATAAATGAGTACATAAAACAAAAGGTCTCACCAAATCACTGGCCAACACTTGTTTTCGGTTCTTCCCATCGTAATCACAGTAGTCGATAAAGTCTAAGTAAGCGTCTGCAAAGTAAAGCAGGTTGTTGGGGTAGTCAATAGTTAAGCCATTGGGCCAATAAAGTTTGTTGCTGATGATCGTGGTCCTTAATTTCCCATCCATGCTGGCTCTCTCGATACGAGGACTTCTGCCCCAGTCTGTCCAAAACATCAGGTGTGTGCTGAAATACATAAAAATGGATTTCGTTTTCAACCTCTGGTCATTCAAATTCATTTGCATATACATGTTATTTGGTCACTGATCTTACTTGTTTCTAGGGTCCACTACCAGACCTCTTGGATTGGTCACGTTTTCACTAATCAGCACCGTTCTGTGAGACCCGTCCAGTTTGGACACCTCTATGGTCTCCAAAATATAGTCCGTCCAGTATAGGTTTCTGCCAACCCAGTCGACGGCGAGACTCTCGGTAACGGTCACTCCACTGTCAAAGATCTGCCCGGGAAGACAAATGATATTTTAGGGTTAAATGTTGGTCATGTTGACTGTAAAGGTCTTTGTACACTGAGTCCGAAATTCCCGTTCGAAATTTTCGCACATTAAAAAATAAATACGTACGGAGCCCCCCGCACATGACATGCAAGATAAAATAAATAAATCTAAAACTAATTCGTTCCCTCGATGTACTAAAACGTGCACACGATTACTATTTCATTCCCTCGATTTGCTCATTCGTTCCCTCGATTTGCTAAATCGTGCGCACAATTTACTAATTCATTCTCTCGATATATAAATCGTGCGCACAATTTATAAATCGAGGGAACTAAATAGTACATTTCGGACTCAGCGTGCAAAGACGGTGCTGGAGTGGTGTTCGTGTCACTCACCACGGTGCGGTCAGTCCCATTTTTGTGAGCGCTCCATATTCTGTCCTGGGTGGTGTCAGACCAGTAAATACGATCCGTAACGGAGTCAAAATCCACTGCCACAATATTACGGCCATCACGCACTAGAGACCGAATAACGTTTGGCTGTGCGAGGATGTCGTCTGATACAATCTGATTCCAACTGGCCACTAAGAGCAAGGCCTCTCGAGATCCTGTCAGATTGAGAAAGAGAGAATAGAATAATGTCAAATATTATTACAATTTTAAATAACTTTTTATATTAATATATTTTTAAATGTAATTTATTCCTATGATGAAAAGCTGAATTTTCAGCATCATATCAGAATAATTGTAAAGTCATCAAAACTATAAAATAGCTATGAAAGTATTAAAATTATGAATTGACCAAAATGTCAAACAACATTGATGCTTATGATGATGCTTATAATTCACTATCCAGTCAAATTCATCCAATCTAATAAAACTTTAAATCAATTAGTTTTAAATCAATTATTTTTAATTAAAAAATAAATAAAACTTTTTGTAAATAAACTCAGATTCCAATCCTTCAAGCGTAATCCTTTAGATCAAAAGGCTTTCACAATGATGAGAAACATAATTCAGTCAAGTGTGTCCAACTTTTGACTGGCAGTCAGTGTTTTGTAATTCATATTTGGCTTGCAATATGTGATTATAATTTAAAGTACACCGTTATCTCAAAATATATCAAATAACCAGGACTAGAAATGAATCCAAACACGTATCAGCTCTCAGTTATAAAACTATGCAAGACATATCTGACATGGCCAAATAGAAGTATAAAAAAAAGAGTCCCGTTGAAAAGCATCATTCAGAAAGAAGACAAGGTATATCAGATGACAGCATTTTTCACCAGGTTATCTCGAGGGAATGGACTCTAGTCAGCGGCAGAGCTCATAAACAACCCTTTGTTTGGTGATTACCACCTAATTACCCCCATAAGAAAGTTTGTGACTGACATATATGTTATTCATCTTATCAGTGGTAATCAGAGAGGCTACACTAGACCCCACTGAGCAGGTCCAGTTGGTGGCTCCACTCCACTAATATCTGTCTTAGCACTGTCAGAGATCACAAAGCTCAATGGAGACACACAAACCTGAGGCCTTGCAGGTGCGTCCGTCTGCCTCTAGAGTGTATCTGTCCTGACAATGACAGCGGAAGGAGCCTCTCTCGTTGAAGCAGTGCTGACTGCAGATGCCCGGAGGATGGCACTCATCGATATCCTCGCACGTCTTCGAGTCGTTACTCAGCTGGAAGCCCATAGGACACGTGCACTGGGCTCCAAACGGGCCTTGGATGCAGCCGTGGGTGCAGCCCGCATTGTTATCCGAGCAGCTCTCCTGATCTATGAGGGAGCAGAAACATTTAGATGAATGACAATGGAAAGAAAAAGCATGCATGAAGATGCAAGGTATTCTGGGAACATGCTTAGCACAACCATTAAACGGGAGGAGTGCTAGGGCTGGGCAATATCTGTATATTTATACATTTAGTTTAAAATTGCCTAAAAGGTGTTTTGTTTTCATTCAGATGAACAATTTTTGTGCCCAAACAACCAGTTTAATATATTTTAAATGTTTAACAATAACAGTGTTATTATAGTTAAATAAAACCATGAAAAAAAACCAAAACATTTTTGTTACTTGAAATAAGTTACCTGAAATAAAATATTTTATTTACAAAAAATACATAAATAAAGAAGAGAAGAAAGAAGGGGGAAAAACTTATTTTAACATGTTTTATTTCAGCTAGTTGCCAAGGAAATATTTCATTTAGTTTATCTTGATATACTAAAATAACCAAATGTAAAATAAAAATAAATAAATAAATGTCTTTACAATACAGTAAAAATTATAGTTCATAATATCCAAGAAATCAAGAAAGTTTCCACACAGTTTTTCACTAAATTAATAATGAAGGAACAAAGATATTTTATTATTTTCATGTATATGCACCAAAAACCTATACACAGAAACGTAAAAACAGCTATATTTATCGACATATATTTATATTTCAAACATTTTAATATACAAAAAAAATGCCACATGGACAGTTTTGTGAAGTTTACTGATGGTACAAGTAAATGAATGAATCGGTTCGGCTATTAGAAAAGAAATCAAGCTTAGCAACTCTAATGTAATTTTTGTAACTTCAGTTCAAATAAGAGTTTAAAAACAAAGTGTTCGCAAAACTAATCTAAAGACACTTTTAAGGAAACTTAATGTTCAAGAAAGTGTATATTTTCACGCAGATTAACCATTTTTGTGACCAAACAGCCATTTTTGCCAATTACATTAATGTAAGAAGTGAAATGCAGTAAAAAATGAAGGCATGTTTTACACAGTTTTTCACTAAATAAAAAATGAAGGAAGAATAATATCGAATTATTTTCATGTATATGCACCAAAAAGCAATACATAGAAATAAACAGCAATAGCTATCTACATATATTTATATTAAAGCATTTTCATTAACAATTTTTTGTAAAAAGTCACATGGACAGTTTTGTGAACATTATTGATGGAGGAAACAAATCAATTAATTGGTTCAGCTATTGGAAAATGAATCAAACTTACCAATTCTAATGTTGTTTTTGCTACTTAAGTTTCAATTACGAGTAATATTCATGATATTGCTTACTTTTTAAAATCACTGCAGATATATTGTGAATATTCAATATATTGCCCAGCCCTAATGCTTACTGTTGAAATCTAAGCTACTTTGGTGGTTGTGTACCATTTCTATGGACTAACACATGTAACATATTTCAAAAACAGTACTACACACTACATCTCTAAGTGTCTATAATGCTAAACACACACAATCTTGCCATATTTAGACACTCTGATCGTAATTGGACGGTTAGTGAGTACAGCCAGACAGATACTGGGATAGATTAGTGCTTCATGCAGAGGATTGTGGGTGATTAGGGATTTAGCCTACCTGGTAAAGGCTCATCTGTGAGAAGGGAGAGCAACATGGAAGGAAAATCACAGATCATTTCAATGTTAATTTCCAGATTAGCTAAACACATGCATGATTTGACACATGGGATTTATAACACAGACGACATACAGTACTGAAATACTCCATGTATTTGAATCAACTGACTGACCACAATATCAATAGAAATATTAAAGATTTCAATGTAAATGAATGTTCTGGATTCAAGACAAGTTAAGCTCTAACAACAGCATTTGTAACATGAATGTGTAGCCAAACAACTGCTGGACCCCACTGGCATCCATAGTATGGAAAAAATACTAGAGAAGTTAATGGGGACCAGAAACTGTTAGGATTCCCACATTCTTCAAAATATCTTCTTTTACGTTCAACAGAAGAAAGAAACTCAAACAGGTTTGAAACAACTTAAGGGTGAGTAAATGATGACAGAATTTTCATTTTTGGGTGAACTATCCCTTTAAGAATTGATCAAAGGTGACAGTAAAGACATTAATAATGTCACCAAAGGTTTCCATTTCAAATAAATGCTGTTCTACTAATTTAGAAATCCTAGAAACAATGGTTTCCGCAAAAATATTAAGCAGCACAATTCTTTTTAACACTGATAATAATAAGAATAAATGTTTATTGAGCAGCAAATCAGCATATTAGAATGATTTCTGAAGGATCATGTGACACTGAAGACTGCAGTAATGATGCTGAAAATTCAGCTTTGCATCACAGAAATAAATTAGATTTTAAAATATATCCAAATAGAAAACAGCTATTTTACATTGTAATAATATTTCACAATTTTTCTGTTTTGACTGTATTTTTAATCAAATAAATGTAGTCTTGGTGAGACTTTTAAAATCCTTAAATAATAATGCCGCCCCAAACCTTTGAACAGTACCGTATATGTCTTACATACTGCTGTAAATCTCAGTAAAACATATGGCATGACTTACTGCAGAGAGGGGATTCATCGGCGCCGTTGGGACAGTCAGCCGTGCGGTCGCACACCCTGCTGAGGTTAACACACACACTGTGTCCAGGGCAATGCCACTGCCAGCTGGGACAGCGGAACGGCGGCGTGGGACAGTCTCGCTCATCGCTGCCATCCCGACAGTCGTTATCACCGTCACATATCCAGCCACGGAAAACACAGTTTCCATTATCACAGTGGAACTGCAAGGTGGGGCACGTGCGCGGTGGGCACGCGTGGTGTTCGTCTGAGCCATCTTCACAGTCTGGGTGCCCATCACATTCCCAGTTTGAGGGAACACAACTGCCGTCTGACTGGCACTGAAACTCACTCTCGTGGTGACACATGCCAGGCTGCCTCGTGGCTGGAAGGGTCAAAGTTCGTGTTAGCTCAATTTAACATACATCATAATACAAGCTTCCCTAGGTTTATAATTAATGTTCAATATAATGTTCTTTAAGGATGATACAAGAAGATGTCCAGGTCATATTCCACTCAAAAAAAAACAAAAAAAAATTACAATGATTAAATTAAAACATATAATATTTTGTAACATCTTTAGCACATTTCTCCCTACATTTAATTAGTTTAATGCAAAACATTTTGTATCCTCAGTACTGTAGTATAAATAAATAAAATAATGTATTCATGCAGTATTTGTTGTATCATTTAATTTGAAATAAAAATGATATATATATATATTTTTTTTAATTATAGCTACAGTACTTTGTTATAATTGTTTTTTAACTGTATAACACATGTAAATTTAATAAGAATTACCATTCAGAATAATGGAAATTTTAAATCAATTATAAAATGTAAAAAAAAAGTACAATGATTAAATTAAAACATAATATTTTGTAACATCTTTAGAAATCTTTTTTCAAAATGATTTTCATCACACTTAAGCACATTTCTCCCTACATTTAATTACTTTAATGCAAAACATTTTGTATCCTCAGTACTTTAGTATAAATAAATATAATAAATAAAATAATGTATTCATGCAGTATTTGTTGTATCACTTTTATTTTAAATAAAAATTATATATATATTTTTAATTATTGCTACAGTACTTGTGTAAGACAGTTACAAAACAATTATAACAATGTAAATTTAATAAGAATCACCATTCAGAATAATGGAAATTTTAAATCTAAAATTATAAAATAAAATAAAAATAAAAAAAGACATCCAAAATAATGTCACATTGCAAAAACAATAATAATAATAGTATCTTTAGTATTAGATCTTTAGTTTGTAGGGTGAACAGTGACCTGGAAATGTTTTTGTGAGATTCACTCATTTATAAACTCTATATTTAATGCAACTAATGCATTATTGTTTATACTTACGACAGCCAGATTCATCCGAGCGATCGTTACAGTCAAACACCCCGTCACATCGGTAGTAGGAATTGACACACTGATGGCCGTTTGCACACTTAAACTCATACGCTGTGCAGTTGTACACTGATGACCAGAAGAACAAGAATCACTCAGATCAAGAAAAGCAAGTCAGCAACAAAAAATCAGTTTGATCTGATTTAAACTGCCATAAGAGATTTTATTATACCGTTTATATTGTGAAAGATTCTATGTATTCGTCTATTGGTGGGCATGTCTGGTTTATGTTGAAATAGTAGTTTGGGAAGAATTATAATGGTATTAACACACTTTTAATATATAAACCATTTTTATATAAACAATATGGACTGTAATGATGAAATGCAATAAAAGAGTTTGGTCCTGGATGTAATGAACTCTTACCACAGCCCTGTTCATCCGCTCCATCTGCACAATCTCTGTCTCCATCACACACGTAATTGGGGTCAATGCAGCGGTGGTCCGGACACTGGAACTGACCAGGGTGGCATGTGCCAATCGAATCTAGAAGAAGAGACACCATAAGAAAAGTCCATCACGCAAAAGTTGCTCTTTCAAAGCTCGAGACTTAATGGGATTCTCAGTTACGTTTCATTCAGATGTTTAAAAATAAAAATAGACACTAAGTCTTCACAAGAATATACAGTGGAATATGAACAGCACAAAGCTCAGCTCATTTGGTATTGGTACAGAATTTGATAAGAAATATTTTAGTTCATTTTGAGATCTGACTTTTTTATATACATGTATGTATATATGTATACTGTTTTACAAAGCCTTCGAAATGCATCTCATCCAATCAGAATTTAGATTCAAATCTATCTATTATTTATATACTGTTTTTATTAGTGCTGTCAAACGATTAATTGCGAATAATCACATCCAGAATAAAAGTTTTTGTTTACATAATATATGAGTGTGTACTGTGTATAGTTATTGTGTATATAAATACACACACACATGCATGTATATACAGTATGTAAGAAAAATGTTATGTTTATATATTAAATATATTTATATATAATATAAATTATATGAATATAAATATCTGGGGGACACACTTCCCGTTAGTGCACGAGAAGGAGTTAGAGCCACACTGGAGGGTCGGCGGCTCATTGGATGGATCGTCCACACACGTCTGCTGATTCGCTTCCAGCTTCATTCCGTATGGACAGCCACACACTCGCTGGGAGTACGGCGCTGGGAAACAGAAATGACTGCAGTCTCCATTTGGGTTTGTTTGCCTGTTGCAGAAGTTAGATCCTGTTGGGAGTAAAAAAAAGTTATATTGCAAACACATTTGATTCATTTGCTGTATTTGAATAAATGGCCTTTACAAACCCTAATACCTTTGTGGAGGCATTACATTCAATGCAAAAATGAGTAAAGTAAATGAATCAATGGAAAGTGAGTCTCACCAATCTGCGAGTCAGCGTTGAAGGATTTGACATGCATGATGTGGCTGATCCCTCGGCGTATGATCATCATCTCCCCTCCGTCTGTTTTACGGACCCTCACGATTCCACCCAGCCTCCAGTCGGTGAAGTACACATAACCTGGACCAGCAAACTTCATTAATGTAATCAAACAGGCCATCTCTGAGAAATACCAGTCCATGAACTCTGACTTCTGCCCTTTTATCTTTCAGCACCGAACTGATGAACTACACTGAGGTTGTAGTGACCTTCATTTCACAGATACCAGACGTGACTATCCATCATCAAAAAAGAGGCCAATGAGACTAACATGTTTAAGACATCATGAGACAGATGATGACAGACATCAATGAATGGCAAAATTGACATTTCGTCAGTCAGTGGGTTTAATTTAGACCGCTTTCTAAAAGTCAGCCACATCTCAGTGTAGACAGATATACAGATACAACAGATATAGAATGATACAATGATAGACAGACAGTCACAACAAACGATAGAACGATAGATAGAACGATAGATAGAACGATAGAACGATAGATAGATAGAATGATCGATAGATAGAACGATAGATAGAACAATAGATAGATAGAACGATAGATCGATAGAACGATAGAACGATAGATAGATAGAACGATAGAACGATAGATCGATAGAACGATAGATCGATAGAACGATAGAACGATAGATAGAACGATCGATAGAAAGATAGATAGATAGATAGATAGATAGAACGATAGATAAATAGATAGAACGATAGATAGATAGAACGATAGATAGAACGATAGAACGATAGATAGA